TAAAGTTCTTTTTTATCTTTGATATCTTTCTTGATTTTTTTTCATTATCTTAAATTTTTATTGTATAAGTCTTTCACTTCCATTGTAGAGTCTCTTCAAGATATTTTGTGCTTCTTTTGAGACTGGTGTGAAAGCATGGTTTCTCTATGTCCAGGATTCTGTTTATTAATTGCTATTCTCAGTATTTGTGCTATTGGTATTCAGAAAGTCCTGTCTGGTGTCAATGAGTTTCAGAATGTTCTCTATTTTCATTCCATCATATTCAATGTTTCTGGCCTCCTGTTGAGATCCTTGATCCATTGGGAGTTGAGTTTTGTACAGTGTGCTAAGTATGTGTTCTATATAGATTCTTCTAATGGCTTTGGAAGACAATGTCATTGTATGTAGGAAGGCTACCGATTGTTGTGTATTAACTGTGTACCAAGCACATTGCCAAGTGTTTTCTGAGCTCTAAGAGCTTCCTTGATGAATTTTTAGGGTCCCCATGTATACAGTCACATCATCTGCAAATAGAGAGTCTTTGATTCTTCCTTTTTCTACTTAATTCTCTCAATCTTCTTCAGTTGTCTTGTTGTTCTAGCTAAGATTATAATGAAAGAAAAGATAGCCTTCCCTTGTCCCTGATTTTAGTGGAATTGATTTGTTCTCTCCATTAAATTGATGTTGGCTGAAAATCATCCCCTATTATTTTAATGCATGTACCCTGTATTCTTAATCTCTCCTGGAGTCTCTCTCCCTCTCTAGAGGTGTTAGAATTTTTCAAAGGGCTTTTCTGCATCCAATGTGATGATCATGTGATTTTTCTCTTTCAGACTGTTTATATGGTGGATTATATTTATTGATTTACATATATTGAATGATTTAATTACTGCAAAACACTAAACTTGAATAGTCAAGCTTTCCTTTAATCAGATTGCCTTCCATCTTTTTGTGATTCAGTCATTAGTTACATTTAAGACTCAGTCTGTATGATGCTAAAACTTATAATCTTCCACAAGTGTTATTTCTGCGATGAGAGGTAGTCAAGTTCTAGTGAAATAAACACAGTGCAAAAAAATTCTATTATCAATTTATTGCATTATGCAATTTGCATCACATGTTTATTTTTGGCAAAAACTAAACCACCATTAAAACCACTTCAATTTTATTTTTACTTAGGACTATTTTCTCCTTCAAACATAAGGAACAATTTGAAGACTGGAGTTGGTATTGTTAGATTATTTAAAATGCAATGTAAGAAAGACAGAAGGCTAAAAGAAAAGAGGCTTCATCTATCCTTAGGTGGGACTTTGTTTATTTATGGTAAGGGAGCATTTTGTCACATCTAAGAAATGACAAAATACTTATGGGGAAGAAGTGATGCAACCCCTTCTAAGGACTCAAAGGACGTCCTTAGTCTACAATAGAAGCTAAGGAATGTAGTCTTTCAGCAGAAGCTCTCATTCCCAGTTCTGAAAGGATATAAAGAAAAATTCTAGGCCTGGGGTGTTATAGCCATTTTCTGTGGAGGAGTGACTTTTCAGAGGGGAGAGTTCTGGCTCCACTGAAGAATGGTTCCTATGGTCATGCAGCAGGGTTGGGGAGTCTTATCGGTTGTGATGATCAGGTGATTGCCATCCAGAGTTCCTGAAAAGACGTGGGAAATAATTATAGAGGGCTGAAAGCAGATGATTTGGTTACAGGTTAAACTGAGACATTTCCTAGAAAAGCTGAGGAATGGATGGGAGCAGAGGTGGGAAAGAGAGAAGGAGCCAGTGAAATAAAATGGCCATAGAGTTGATTCATGGTGACAATGACTTGTCTATTGCCAGGATGTTGCACTAAAATAAGCTACCAGAAGTAGAAGAGAGTTAAAGAGCACCAATGGAGGTGGGGCAGGAGAAAAATAGAGATCTAATGTAAAGAATTATATCTGGTCTGCAGAGAAAAGGTCTCTTTAAGCCAGATTCTCTCTAAAGCATCTAAAATTTCTGTTTGCAGATATATTGGGAGCAAATGGAGTTGCTGTAGAATGAGGGCAATTGGGAGAACTTCCATGAAATACTGTGTTTTGATATAGTGTGAAGTTCTATAAGTAAATAAATTTAAAGACAGGGTAAAACATAGTATGAAATAACAAGGAGGAAAGGGTATGGGGAAGAGCCAGAGTGGAAAAGGAAACAGAAGGAATTTTTCGGAAAAAAAGAAAAATAATTTTGATGGTCTATTTGACTGCTTTGAAGAGTCTTGGGATGTTGATCTCTTGGTGCTTATGCAACTTACTCAAGTAGGATGCTGTCCCATCCGTGGAAACTACTAAAACCTGGGTTGTTTTCTTTACCATCCAAGTATATTATAAATTTAACCCATTGTACTAAAGCTATCAATTTTTATAATGATTTTTAAAAATATGCCTGCTTTGGAATATTATTTTGCATTAATCATACTATAAGTTTTCTTTAAACTTGTTTTGCTCTACCTGGTTTAGGCTTAATTTTGAACACATTTGCATATACTATATGATGGGAGATAACAGAAGAATATTATGTGAGCTAAATATTGGTCTACCCCACCCTCAGGCTTGTCTCTGTCAATCTCATTTGTCCTCGGTGTGACTGGCCATTAACTTGTGTATATTGATTATCTTTAAAAGTTTATAATTAGTGATAATTATTTTATTAAATTAAGATTTTATGATTTTATCCCTTTTAAGTTTGAGTGTTAAAAATCGTAATTCTTGAATTAAAATTCCTTTAGTATCAAAATAAAGTTTAAACTATAAATACAACGAGACAAACATCTTAGTGTACTTTTTACAAATTTCCTGTTTTTAATATGACTTAGTTTCTAAATAGTTAAAACTTAGCAAAGACAGCAAAGATATCACAGTTTTCATATAACTTAGTTATGATTTGAAACAAAATGTTTTCAAGATGTATTAAGGTAAGGAGTATTAAGTTAAGTGTGTACACAGGGTATTACACTTTGTCATTTTAAAGATAGTAAACAACTAAAGAAAAGGGATAGAGTTCTCAGAGAGTTAAATAAAGTCAAGAAAGGGATATGAGATACGCAGCAGGTATCCCCTATTGGAAGGACTCTGCCTTCAGTGCGTAATGTGTTATCTTGGGCTGTTATATTTTGCTCTTTCTCCCTGTCACAGAGTCAGGTAACTATCCTGACCCAGGGCAGAGGTGTTGTCAGAAACTTTTAAACAAACATGCTTGGGTTGGAGCAGACTGGCCAAACTGCATATTCACAACCAGCCTTCTCAGTAGAGTAGAACAGCGTGAAACAATTTTTCTGTTATTCACCCCTCAAAGGCATTGGAACCTGTGTAAGACTGAACCCATTGATCTATATATTCATAACCAGTTTGTGTCTGACTACATTTGGACACAGACAGTCTCAATGCTTTTACCTCTTAACTGTTAAAGTTCCAAGCAAGAACTTTGCAGGTTTGGGGAGGCAGAAACACAGGTAAGCCAAAGCACAAGGCAAAAGAGGCACACGGTGAAAGAGTCCTATGCTCTCTCAGTCAGGAACAATATTAAAGATATAAGTTTGGAGGTCCAGCTGAATGAGTGGCTATTCTGGCTCTGGGCATAGTTGTAAGCCAGAGCCTTGAGAAAGATTAAGGGGAATTCTAAGTTTTATCAGGGAAGGAGCCTCAGACCATACTGCCATTTCATCTTATGGAGTTATTTAAATGGTTTAGATCAGCGATTTTCAACCTGTGGGTCTGGACCCCTTTGGGGAGTCAAAATACCTTAGCATTGGGGTCACAGGTCGAATATCCTGTGTATTGGGTATTTTCATTACAATTCATAACAGGAGCAAAATTACAGTAATGAAGTCGAAATGAAATGAAATATATGACTGGGCTCTGTATTAAAGGGTCGCAGCGTTAAGAAGGTTAAACACCACTGTACTGAGTTGAAAATTTGTGCCTGCAGTGGCCTTTCAGTTATGAAGCTCCAGTGAACTTCAGATCTAAGACTGTTAGGCCAGTGAAAGGTTCTGAAAGTTTTGACATAAAGCTCTTGGAATCTTTGACCAGCTCTGTAAAAGTATCTCCTAAGTCTAGAAATGACCGAACACACTGGTTAATAAAGAGGTATCCCCAATATAATGCACAATTCCAAGGAGCTGCATGCGACAAAGGAAGATTCTTGAACTTTCAGCAGATTGAGTAGTGTCTTAACCAGCTGAAAGGCTTCCGGTCTATGTCTGAATGGGCCTCACAGAAGAAATCTCAGTGAGCTCCCAGATATAACTAGAGCACTTCTGAATCAGGCTCAGTAGGTTTCCTTTTCCCAGCTTTTTGTTATGACGCCTGTGTGTGACTACCGCATGGTTTCCCACCTAAGTCTGACTGCCAGGGCAAGAGAGTAAAGGTGAAAGAAAAAGGTCAGAGACAAAGAGTGTAAAGAAAAGGCTTCTTCCGGGTGATGGTGCACACCTTTAATCCCAGCACTCATAAGGCAGAGGCAGGCAGATCTCTGTGAGTTTGAGGCCAGCCTGGTCTACAAGAGCTAGTTCCAGGACAGTCTCGAAAGCTACAGAGAAACTCTGTCTTGAAAACCCACAAAAAAAGGAAAGGGAAAAAAAGAAGAAGAAAAGGCTTCCTGACAGAAATCTGTTTTAATGCAGGACCATGGGGACCTGGGGTAAAGTGTCAGAGCTGCTAACTAGGGGTGAAGGCTCCAGAACCTTACCAGGCTTTCTGCACTGTATGTTAGATTAACTAGAAAACAGCGGCAGAGAGACAGAAGGTGGAAAGAATGGGAGACTTGATCTGTCTTTAGGCAGGACCGTGTTCCTTCACAGCAATGGATTATTTTGTCAGCCAAATGTGTGGATGACCAGAATGCCTATAGAGAAAGATGAGATATAGCCCCTTATTAAAAGAACAGACACAACTTTTGTAGCCCATGAGGAAAAGTGGGACGCTGAACAGAAAACTACTGAGTATCCTGCTAAATTTTTATTATTATTAAACACCTACTCTCTGTCTTTAGCCTGCAGTGACCTGGAATTCAGAGAAGTGGCCAACAGACTTCGTGACTGGTTCAAGGCCCTTCATGAGAGTGGGAGCCAAAATAAGAAGACCAAAGCTCTGCTGAGGCCTGAGAGAAGCAGTAAGAGTTTTAAAATTGGATAAAGCTGTTTATTTTTGAAGAGGTTACCTATATCCAGTGAACTTCTGAGACTAAGCTCATTTGTCAACATTTATGCTTCACCTATATGATAAACAATAATCCAGCACATTGTTTCAAAGGCCTTCTACAGTAGAATGTAAGAACATAAAATAAATTTCTTAGGTCAACTTTGACTTAGGAATGGGGCTTGTGTCTTCAGAGCATTGAAGTTCTAGTCAGAACTGAAGCATAGAAATATTACCTGCCATGGTGGTACAGGGTGGTAACAATAGCATTCTGGAAACTGTGGAAGGAGTATGAGTTCAAGGCCCCAAGGCCTGCATAGCAGGACACACTTTTAAAATTAAGTAAGAAGGAATTTTAAAAAGGGGATTCCAAAGCTCTATTTATAGGAGGATATAAAACAAAGGATTTTGTTACTACTTAGAGGTCATAAGTAGACTTATTTGAATTTTGATGTCATGTTTCATTTAGTCCTGTGTGAAATGGATATAAATTCTTAAAAGTCAGTTGTAGGCAGAGACCGTTTGTTTCCAAGTCACCCAGACCTGAAATAACCACAAAAAACTTTACTCTTACAACACTGCTTGTCCTTTTTGCTCACACTTCTCATTGGAAAGCTCTTATATCTTAAATTAACCCATTTCTATTAATCTGTGTTCTGCCACATCATTGTGGCCTACCTATAAGGTTCCATCAAGCGTCTGTCTCCTGTGGTGACTTCATTGCTTCTCGCTGACTCTACCTACTCTTTCCTCCTCTATCTGCTTAGAACTCCTGCGTTGTCCTACTGTGCACTGCAATAGGCCCAAAGCAGCTTCTTTATTAAACAATAGTATTCACAAAATTCAGAAGTGAATCCCACATCACTTCCCCTTTTCTGTCTACATATAAAGAAAAGTTTTAACTTTAATATAGCAAGATTACATACAACAAAATGGTTATCAAGTAAGAAGTAAAGTTACAATATTTATATCTCATTTATCTTTTATTTTCACTAAAGAAAACTGTAACTATTCTTCAACTCCAACAAAATATCTGGATTTTGTAAACAGGAAGTGCATTGTAAGCAACTTCCAAAACTCTAGAACTGACAGAGATATTTCACTGTCTGGAGAGTTGACCAAAATTTTTTGTAACATCAGGTCACCCATCTTCAGTATCCAGCAGACTTTTCCATAAAGCAGGGAATTTGAAAGACAGTTCCACCTATACTGTCAGTTTGTCAGTCTTTTTTGTGTGTCTTCTGCAGAATGTCTGGCAGACATTTTCATGAAGCAGGAACTGTGAAGGAACGTCTCACATTTAGGAAAGCTCAGCAGTTATTTTTTTCTGTGGATCCTGAATGTCCAATTTATACAGCATAACAACAAACAATCCAGGCAAGGGCTGTTTCTTGTCCAAATGGCTCCATGAGGAGCCTCTTCAATGTCCATCATCCTCTTAAAGTATATTGGTGCTACCAGGAGCAATTGCGTCTCATTTTCACGAAAAGTCCTAATTCTTAAAACATTTTAAATGCCATATTTTGTTAGTCTGTGAAAGGTTTGAAGAATACCTATCTATCTGAAATATACCTCTACATATTTAGAAAACCTAACTAACATTACTACAAACTTGACTATTTTAGATGACTGTCTATTAAATGTATTTTAATTATACATTAAATTTTTTAATGAACTGCACAAACATAATATTTTAATCAATAGCAGAAATATACATATAACAAAATTGACCTTAAATTTGTATCACTAAATCAAGATTCAGAGCAACACAAAGTATTCATCTCTGTAGCTTACCCCCATTAAATGTAAACAAACATTTATAAACACTATTTGGGAATTTGGGCACAGTCCTCTCAAAACTGTTTCCTGCTTTTGGTTGGGCAAAGTATATTGGGGAAAGAGGTTTATAGAGACCTTTCAGGGGGCTGGACTTGTTCCATCACATCACAATAGTCTGGAAAGAATACACTCGCTCTCATCCTCTGTGGGAAAAAAAAGAAGCAGAACTTCTTTTCCAAAGTAACATATTCTTAGACCCAAATTTTGGAGTCAAGATCACTTTAAAATATATACATATATGTTGGTTTAGCTTAGCAGCCTGTACAGTGAAATGTCTCTCAGTACCTAGCTCATTCACATTTAAAAATGCACAGAAAACACAATAATACACATAATGTAGACTCTCTGTTTATATTTCACCTCAATTTTTAAGCCAAATTAAAGCAAGTTTAATAAATACTGGTCAGGATGATGAACTCTGGCCAAGTGCATTTCCTGTTTCCCAGAAAATGACAATGAATTGCATTTTGGAGCTTTTTAAAGGTAAACCCATAAGGTCCAATCAGTGGGAAGTATTTATCTGACATACAAGATATAATATGTACAAGAATGTCTTCAAACTTCCTGCCTACATCCAGTCAGGGACAAGAATACATTTTAACACACATCCTGTCTAAGTAGCTCCCTCCTACATGTTACTAAGCACATCCAGTGTAATTGCGTCAAATAAAGTTGTTCAAGGAACTGAAAACAAGTATCCTGTTATTTTATATTAACTACAGACTTTAACATCTCAGGAATTATCTGTCTTTGGGCAAGGGGTTCATAAGTTAGAGGCAACTTGGTAGATTGACCTCTGTGACTTTAAGGTGTGGTAGTACACACCTTTAATCCCAATGCCTGGGAGGCAGAGACAGACATATCTTTGAGTTCAAGGTGTGGTAGCAAACACCTTTAATCCCAGCACTGGGGAGGCAGAGACAGGTGGATCTCTGTGACTTCAAGGACAGCCTGGTCTACAGAGTTATTCCAAAACAAAGATGTATACAGAGAACCAGTCTCAAAAAATAAAAATAAAAATAAAAAAATAGAGGTTAAAATAAAGCCACATAAAGATAAAAAATACACAGAGAATCTTGATACTGTATGCTATTATGCTCTCTTTGAATTGTTTAAATGCTGAGAAAAGAACAACAGCTGCTAAAAGACTTTTGTTTATAAATGCTGCTAAACTAATCCAAGATAGGTATTTTAAAAATACCTAGACTTCAAAATTAAAGTCAAAAGGTATGTTACTTTGAAAAAGAGATTTTGCTTTTGTTTCCACAAAAAATGAGAGGCTCTGAATTTATTCAGAGTTAAAAAAAAAATCATCTTTGGCCAAGGGAGACCACCTGAAAAATCTCCGACAGAAACAGATTGCCCAGATGTCTAAATTCTACATCCAAAACAGATTCAAGACTGCTGCCTGAGGTGACCAAGACCCACAGGATACTCCAGTCAGGACTTGATTATAACTCTAAATTTTCTTTAGGTCCCCATAAGATCATCAGTGCCCCCAACCAACAAAAAACAGCCTAAAATACTACACCCACATTCATAACAAATGGACTATGGATATTTTTCTTTGTTTAAAAAAAAGAGGAAAATGGTGTGGGAGAATTATCTGTATTCTGTCAATCATGTATTTTAATGAAACGCTGATTGGCCAAGCAGGAAGTATAGGCGGGTCAACCAGACAGGAAGTAGAGGCGGGGCAATGAAAATAGGATAAGGCTAGAGAAGAGAAAGCTCCCTCAGCCACTCCTGCGCAGACCACCAAAGAGGCAACATGTAAGCTGCCCCCGCTGGAAAAGGTACTGAGCCATTATGGCTAACATAGATAATGATAATAGATTAATATAAATTACAAGGACTAATAAGAAGCCTGACCTAATGGGCCAATCAGTTTATAACCTAATGTAGACTCTGTGTGATTTTCCTTGGGACTTGCTGGCTTGCTGGGGTACTGGGCGGAACAGAAACCCCAACAAGCCGGCCCTCATGTTACATAACTTTGTTTCGTGAATCTCTTAGGCACAATAATTAAAGCAACATAACTTTAGCTCTTAAAAAAAGAAAGCAAATAAAATGGTATGGAAATTTTATATTTCATGTATTTAGAAATGATATTGAAACATAGCTGAATATTTATAAGATCAGAAAACCTATTTTTCCTAAGAGTCAGGTAACAATGTGAGTTCAGCAGCTTGGCTGGCAAGGAATTTTCCAGCATGAGATGCTCAGTTTATCATGATTAGCAAGAGCTCCAGTCCTACCTGCAACCATTGAGATTCAGTTTCTGTCAAGATGACAGCAATATGACACAGTTGTGTTTAGAATTCATATTTTTCTAAAATACTTTAACTTTCCTATAATTATATCATTTTTCTGCAATCCCAACCTTGTATATTTGTGAATCTTAATTTCTAGGATGATTTAACTTATGTGAAAAATTAAAATCACTCATGAAAATAATTTTTCACCATGTTAATCTTCATCCAGTCTTCTTACGCATTTCAGAAACAAATTATAGTATTTACCAACACTCTAGGAGAATTGCTGACATTTGATTTTGACTATATTATAAAATTTTGGGCCGTGTAAGTGATTTTTGGTCTTTCAATCTTAATTTACTTCATAGTAACAACAACTAAATGTACCTGATTTTCCATCTTGAAGAAAACATTGGACTTGGGAAGGTCCTTTTAGCCCACTGCATACTGATTTATTTAAAGGATTGATATCCACAGAGATCTTCTGAGTACATATTCTTTCTTTAATAGAGCACATTTTCAAGGATACTCATTGAATTTGAGTTCACACAAATCTTTCCCTAAGTTTTGAGGCATAGGGAAAGCATTGGAGGGCTCAATGAGGTGCCTCATTGGTGTGGGATGTCCTTCTGTATACATGCTGTTTTATTTGTTAATGAATAAAGCTGATTTGGCAGGGCAGAATAGAGCCAGACTGAAAACATCACTTAGGCATATTATCCAAGCAGTGTTTTAATTAATATAGTTTCTGATTGATTATTTTGGTTCTGGGTGTCCAGGAAACAAACAAGTAGCCTCCGTCTACACTTTGTGTATTACTCAGCTTTCTAAGAACAATTTTCATTCAAGAAATGTTGTGAGACCCTGTGAATATGGTCAT